TCACCAAGGGCGCCCCCTTGTTGGGGGAGTCGGTTGAGGACTGTTGCATGATGGAAGCCCGCAACATGGCCGCCGCAGTCTTGGAGGCGGTAATTTTGCTCATGGAGTCCGCTGCAAAAACAAATAGCAAAGTTAATAAAAAGTCATAACAGTATTGCATGGAAAAACAGAGTATTTGACAGGCCGGCTACCTCTTGAGCACCGACTGCTGAGGCCACAGGCGACCAAAAAGTACTCGTCGTAGAGCCATTTGAAGCTCGGGACGCAGTGCAGGGGTACTTGCTCTCGTACTCCTGAAGTAGAGTCGACCCTCGACTCTACTTTAAAGAGTCCTTTATCCAGGATCTCTTTCTTAGCTTTGGGGGGAACAGGCGGCATGCTGCGGCCGCTTGCAAGAAGAGGCGGATTCCTGTTCCACCTGTTGAAGCGCTTGTTCAGCTCTGTGTCTGAACTCTCAATGATAAGGAAGGTGCTTCGCCAGTCCTTCCACTTGTTTGCTTTACCTCTTGTCATGAGGTAGCCTCTGTGGCTTGTCAATTGATACCAGCCGGTACCGCCTGCCTTAGGGATCCGACTGAGGTAGTTCATGTGGGCGAAAGCCTCGAAGTTTGGCTCCACCCCATGCAGTTTGCACCCGGCCACATAGCCGAGTACGTTGACCCAGGAGTTCGGGGCTAACTGCCATAACCCCAACTCATAACCATCCAAGATCCGCTGAACAACCGGATGTAGTGGGAAGCGCAGCCCAGCCTTGATGGCCGCCTCGTAGCAGCCAAAGCAGGCGCCATCATAACTAGTACCAGCCGGCCAGACGACTGTGTCTTATGGATCCGGCACGAACACTAAAAAGCCGGGGCCCATTATGTGGTTCGCAATAAAGCTCCCCACTTTCTCTTGCATGGCCGTGATCCGGCCCCGAGGGACAGTGCAGTAGTAGGGGGTATTTTGCTCTCGGTAAGAGGCGGATGGCTCCGCCCAATTGTCCCCCTTCTCAACTGCGTGAGAAAGCCTCGCCTCTTGTAGGCGACTGTTTTTCTCTTCTGTGTCCAGAGAAGCATGACCAGAAGAGCTAGACTCGGATTCGTCCTCTGACGAGTCCGAAGAGGACGACTCCTCCCCTCTCCCAGAGGGGCCCGCCTCCTCTCCTTTAAAAGGAGCAGGAGAGAATGTAGACTTGTCAACTGTAAAATTGGAAGGGGTCACTTTGACTCCTCCCCCAGAACTGTCGGTTTTGAAGCCGCTTTGGTTCACTTCCACATCTGGCGCCTGGTCAAATGTTTCACTAATCGGCACCCTGTGGGAGGAGCCGTCTGAGTTCGAAATCCTAGCAGTTCGTTTTGTTCTAGCCATCATGTATAGCATAGACACAGAGACAGTCGGACTTTGTATAAAGGGCAAAGATGGGTCCGGAAAAGGGCAGGCGACACTCCTAGTCCTAGATTCAGCCGTCCCCGGTGACCGGCTGATCACTAACCTAGGTCGTGTCGTGTGCTTCCGTGGTGCCATTTCAAAAAAAGAATAAAATAAAGAGAAAATTAAGAGGAAGAGAACCGACGGTTACCTGAACGAGTGAAGTTGATGGAGTTCTGAAAATCCTGTGCAGTCGGCTTGTCAGAGCAGGCGGTAGGCAGAAAGGGTCCGAAATGTCAGAGCAAGTTCAGGGGTCCGAATGTTCTCTCTAAAAAGTTCTCAAATGTGAAAATGACTGAAGTCAACACTCCCTTATATAGGCGAAGTGAGAAGTCGAAGGGTCACTTCCAAAATTCAAAATTTGGGCGGGAGAATCTCTTGGCCTTTCGCCGAGTGACACCTGTAGCAGGCCGTCGCCTGTCACAGTGCGACACATGTCACAGGTAACACGTGACCAGTCACGTGCCACCTGTGAGGGGCAAATGATTAGGAGATTTTGCTCTCACCAATCGGAATGCGCCACGTGGGCCAATCAAGTCCTGCCAAGTGTCCCCCAGTTGCAACTGTCAGGGCTTGCCACGTGGCACACGCCTATTCGTCCACCCTGGACCTATTATGTCATGACACGTGGCATCCTCCATGCCTAATGGAGAAACCGACCACCTAGGCCCAACTTCCAAGGGAAGCCCAATCAGCCCTAGGTTAACCTAAACCTAGGATTGGCACGTTTCCCAAGGTTATAAATACCTCCCTTAATCCTCATTAAGAGGGATTACACACATTAAACACTCTCACATAGAGAGACCCAATCACTTTTATTTCCGCATTAATTACTCCTTAATCAGGTACTAACTTGACCGTCGGAGGCGGATCTCCAATCATCCGGAGCATCCGTTTGTTTTGCAGGTACAGGCGTCCGGTTCCAGTCTCGGAATTGTAACTCTCCCGCAGGACATCAGAAAACCCCGAAACACTAATGTTTCTAACTTTTTACAAAAGCTACCTCCACCACTAAAAACTACCATAACCACTACTTTGCCAAACACTCACATTTTTTGTTGAGTAGTGGTTTGACTTAGTCAAACCACTAAAAGCTACTCAAAAGCTAACGCCGAACACGCCCATTAGCTTTTGAAATTAGAGGTAGCTTTTCAAGTAGTTGTTGAAAATTTAATCTATAGTTTTAAAAATAAAATATTGATTTTTATATGTAACAGCTAGTCAACCACTACTTTACCAAACACTCATATCTAAATTATTTATCTTCACAGCTAACAGCTACCTACATAGCTAACAACTACCTCCACAGTTACAGCTACCTTCGCAGCTATATTTTGCCGAACACGCCCTAAGGGATGCATTACAAGATGTATAAACGGGTATACAATAAAAACAATGCTGACACAACCTAATATTTACTTCATAATTGGAAATTGGGAATTCGCATTAGGTAAGTAAACTCATGTAAACTCATAAAAAAAAACACGTACTACTTTAATATTGTAAGGAGTATTAATCATCACATCACCAATGTGACATTATACAAAACATCTTTTGAACTATATTTGACACAAAGTCTAATTATACTTCATATTTATACATCAAAACTACAAAATTATCATGTCAGGAATATATGAAACAAAATTAAGGGGAAGGGGTTGGAGATTAGGAAGAAGAAATTGACGATCTTAATTATGAGAAGGCGGTCTAGATCTGGGCTTAGGGTAATCTGAGTAAATCCCAGGATAACGAGCATGGTGTTTGTTAGAAACGTGCCAAGAAACAACTGATTTCTTCATAACAACTGAATTTGCTTCTCTTCTATGCATCATTTGCTTCATTAATAACCCTCTATGTTTTCGATGAAAATTTGCAACTTCATGAGTTAGCATTTCCTCTTCTTTGTTAATAGTAGCCAACTTCTCTGTAAATCTCTCTATTACCTGCAATTTTTTTAAATGAACATATTTTAGTTAGTTACATATACATTTATTTACAAAAAGTACGTACTCTCTAACACATTAGAATTGTATGCAAATCAACATTTAAGTTTGACAATTTTATTAAATTTCAACAATGTAGGTTCACCCATAATCTTTATGTGAGGGTTGAGAATTCGATTTTTATCTGATTAACATTAAACAAAAAAACAACAACAAAAAAAAAAAAAATCATTTGGATGCCATTTCTTAGAGAACATACCAACTAAACTTATATCAAATCTTATTTTTATTTTATTTTATTTTATTTTTTATTTATTTAAACTATTCGTGTGGTTTTTAAATATTAGTTAAACTATTTTCAAAATTATTGACTCAAGTAAATTAGTAACTACTCAAATGGAGAAGGATAAAGTGAAAAACACTAACCTTAAATGATTGGCGAATTGATGAAACTTCAGTATTAAGCCAAAAATGACGAGCTTTACATGCATTAACCAAAAGAAAGAAAATCAAAGTGCTAATGAGGAGTTTAATCGCCATGATAATCTCCGAGATTAAGGATAGATGAGATTAAGCTAACTCGAACGAGTAACAAAAGTAATACATAATTTATACCAAGAAATGAAAACACGAATATAGAAATTGGACTTAGGATTTAGCTATATATATAATTATACTTTTTTTTTTTTAAAAAAATATTTTTATAGTTAAAAGGAGATTAAAAGTACATCCATATATATGTAGGCTTAGCTAAGATCAACAAACATATAATTATATAATAATTACGTTTAAATTAATGTATTCATAATCTATGTCTTCTAAAATTGTAGGCTTCAATGAAGAACAAGACTACAAGAAGAGCACTTTTTGTGCGGATGTTGTCGTTGTGTAACTTGTGTTGTGCTTGTAAATTTTAAAACAAGAACATGAATATTAGTATTCAATATAATGTGCTTCCCAATAGATTACGTTGACAGAATAAAAATATGGACAAATAAATTGGAAGTTATTTTAGTGTTTGTGTTCTAACCCGGTTTAATTAGGGACAAGGTTAAAAAGTATGCCTTGAAAAAGTTTGGTACATTGGAGTGAGCAACCCCTTTGTGCCCTTGGATGAGTTTTGAAATTAGAAAATTTGACAGCTATTATTATTATTATTATTATTATTATTATTATTATTATTATTATTATTATTTTTTAAATGATATAGATTTAAGAAAAGCAAGAAAAGTTAATGATTTCGACCGATATTACCGATTATTTAATGTTGGATGTCAACTACAGTAGATTAGTTGTTTAAAATTATAGACATGTTGGTACGGATATATGGATCAGATTTATTTTACTGCATTTGCATTTTGCACCTCCTAAAATTTGGGATATCCGGTTTCATGAGTCCTCTTTCCATTGCAGACATTTGCATATTTGCTGTTAATCCTTTTGATGATTTCACATTTAACAAAAGCACATTGGGATCCGAATGAGTTACTTAAAATTTTGACTTTAAATGGTTAAACACTCTATGAGGTTTTAAGTTTCAACCATCAACAAGACAATGCCTTCTCGACTGTAACAAGGGTATGTGAAACAAGCCGCAAATTGTGCTACAAAGCACAAGGTCAAAAAAGCAATAGAATATACTTCGTAAGTAGTATTAGTAATGTTTAGTTTGAACATAGCTTGTATGCTTCTCTTGGTGGAGATTTTCAAAGAGTTTAATAATGGAAAACCTCGTGATTTGAGTAATTTCCATTAATCAATATATATTACAACAAGAGTTCTAATTACGGCGTATATTAGGAAACTAACAAGTTGTAAAAAATTCTTTTACAAAACATGAAGTATATCTTAAACTTACAAAGAGAATACAATGTGTATATTCTGATATTCTTTATCAAACTAGCCTTGATGCCATTGTAGCAGCTCTTGTTTATCAGCAACACTTCAACAGTTGCCAGCTTATTTCTAAATCCCTCTAGTACCTGCACAGTGTACAATACTAGTGAACATCCTACATACAGTCAACTACAGCATACTGAAACTGAAAATTGAAAATGTATCAGTATATGGCATTTCAAGAGCAGAACCTCATTTGCAAACCATGTTTATAATAGTAATGGAATTTCAATTTTCATCCTTGATTTTCTGGAAATGTGCAACAAAAGTAGCACCATTTAAAGTAGAATTACTGTTAGCGAAAAACCTAAAGCAAACTTAAAACCGGAGCAATTTCCAATTGATTAATGATCATATAACTCCAAACTGAAAAAACTTTTAACAAATCAGCACAAGACCCATCTAGAAAGAGCAGCAATGCTATGAGTTAAATAAAAGGATAATGCTAGAAAATATAATTATAGAATGGAAGAAGTATGATATATATCAAGTGTATTGCAGGGAACAGTAGTATTTACTTGTTAGCTACCTGTTTATAAAATAACAATGATTATAGAGAAGCAGCACTTACAAGTCATGAAAAAAAAATTCTTTCGAAAATTAATGATGGGGATGTGTTTAATGTAGGGCCAATCCTCCCCGGGAGGATCCTTTTGACATCTACTCTTCAGGCTATCTGAACAATTCAAGAGCTCAAGTTGTTTTAGTGAGGTGAGTTTGGGCATCCAATTCGGTAATGATTCTAGTCTTTTGCAATCACGAATATAAAGGTATTTGAGGGAAGCCAAGGATTGCATCCAATCAGGCAGATTCACTAGCTGTGGGAGATCATAAAATCTCAGGTCGCAGAGGGAGTGATGAAGGGATCGCCATGGCCTGCCATCCTCTGTCTCTTCTGATAGCCTCACATTTGGACAGTTCCGTATCACTAACTTCTTTAAGGCAGTGAGATGCTCTAATCCTCCACAAACACTCCTCAGTTTGACAGATTTCTTAAATTTCAAGATTTGCAGAGAAGAGGAGCAGTTGTGAAACACCTCTTCTACTTCTTTTAAGCTCTCCATGTCCCCCCCATCTTTCTCAAGATTTAATCTTTCAAGGCTCTGCAAAGTCACCATAGGCAGAGAATTTAACCACACCGCATTGTCTATTTTCACATACCTTAACATAGGAGTTGGAATACTACTACTTTTACTCGAATTTTCAGTATCAAACAACGACCGCGACAACTTATCACCAGAGAATACTGATGATGAGGGAGGAACCTCTCCTATTTTTCCACCCCTTGTTTGTAATATTTTCAGTCTTTTATTGAAGCTTCTTAACAATAGATCATCCACTTTGAGACATAGCGGAATACATGTCAATTCTGGGCAATATTTTATATACAAGTGAGAGAGACATAATTGCAAATTTATGTTATCTCTCCATCCTTTAAACTTCGGCAAATACCACAAATCAAGGTTTTCCAAGGAGGGAAAGATTGTTACTCCTTGAGCACATTCTGATTCAGACGTGGAACTAAAAGCTAATTGACTAATTTCTATGTACTCCAACTTAGGCAAACTTACAATACTCAGGAATTTGAGATGCTGCAAAGTTCCCAAACATGGCAGGTACTCCAACTCCGTGCAATCCTCAAGACAAATAGATACAAGATTTGGGAGAAGGGTTGTCCAACCAGGCATTCTCACACCACGGTACCCCCGTACGCTTAATACCTTGAGATTCAAATGTGGTTGCAGCTCTTCCATAAATCTTCTTGCTTCCTCGGTACCCACACCTTCATCTATCTCTTGGTGACAGAAATGAAACATAAGGCCCTTGAGATGTTCCTTACTTCTTAGATAATGTCCTTCAGTACTGATGTCGTCTACCTTAACGACATTTTTAGGCCACTTAAAGCAAATATCAAGACGGCCTTTGAGGTTGTTCATAGCCTTTAGATCTTCCAGTCCATCTAACCATTGCCTTGTAGTTGAATAACTCCCTACACCACCCACAATAAAATCACTTAGTGTGTGAAGACAATTCAACTTACCCATCCCCTTGGGAAAACATGTCATATTCAGGCAAAAATCTGTAAACAAAGTCCTCAGCTTCACCAGCTTGCTCAAATCTTTTGGCAACTCTTTCAATTCAATGCAATCACTTAACTTTAACGTTTGTAAATTACATAGTTTTGTAATCGACTTCGGAAGCACTTCTAGACGGTTCAACGAGAGATCTAAATACCTCAAATGCAACAGTTCACCTATTGATTCTGGCAATGTTTTGATTCTTATACAAGACAAATCCAATACCCTGAGGCGAATGCAATTAGCTATTTGTGCCTCTACGAAGAACTGATCCAATCTAACAACTTCCCTGCGACCAAATAAAAGAAATGTTCGAATATGGGACTTGTATAATGAACATCTTGCAACTTTGTTTTTGACAGACAGATGGCAAACTTTATCATCCAAGTTGCCCTCTAAGTTATCTGTTGCATAAATTTCCTGTTTGGTAACTGTTTGAGCAACATCGTGCATGAGATCGTGTATCTTAAAACTCACAATATCACCATAAATCACATGTCTTACTATGTCTTGAAAAAAGCATCTTCGCAACAAAATTGACAAATATTCCTCAGCAGCACCTTCTATACTTTGTCCTTCATCTAAAGGGACGATATAGCCTTGTGCCATCCAAAGGCTTATTAGCATCTCCTTTTCTATCCGATAATCCTTGGGAAACAACGCACAATAGCTGAAACAACTCTTCAGTGGAGACTCGAGATTGTGATAACTTAGCTTCAATATAGGCATGATGTCATTGTGGCTCTCTCTGAGGTTGGCTAATGGAATTTGCACAACTGATAGCCACTTACTCTTGTCTTGACCATATAAGAGACTTCCTATCACTCTTATAGCAAGAGGGACTCGAGCACATCCTTTTACAATCTCTTCCCCTATCTTAACCAAGTCGTCAGGAGGGTTAGACGATTGCAATCCAAAAGCCACTCTTTCAAACAAACACCAAGAATTCACATCTGACAAGCCTTGGAGCTTGTATGTAAGACCGTCTCCTATAATTTTTGCGGTCGCTAGTGAACGTGTTGTCACTAAAATCCAGCATCCTTTTTGACCTCCGATTAAGAATCTTTCCAGGTCACGCCACTGATCACACTTCTCAGACCATACATCGTCTAAAACAAGCAAGTATTTTTTGCCTGCTAGTTGATTGCGTAGCTGCTTTTGTACCTGATCCATGGTGGAGTCCTTCTGAGGCTTGTGAGCTGCTGAAGCCAAAATCTTATAAAGAATATCTTTTACATCAAGTTGCTTCTGATCTTGATCAGAGACACAAGTCCACAACCTCAATGGAAATGCACTTGTAATCCTTGGATCGTTATGCACAAGCTGAGCAAGGGTTGTTTTGCCCAACCCTCCAATTCCCACAATCGTGAGAAAAGATACATCGCGTTGCACATTGGAATCGAGCATCATACCAACAATCTTCTCCAAGTCATCATTTCTTCCAATGATATCACCAGAATCCACATAAGAACAGGTCTCAGGCCTTCTCCTCCGGATAGGCTCGGGATCATGCTTCAAGCTAAACTGAGTGTTATAAGCAATAGCATCCAATTTCTTCCTGATTTTCTTAACCCCTCTAGACATTCTGTAAGCAACACCTAGCGGGTTATCAGAAAAGAAGTGACACACCTTTTTAGCGAGACTACCACCAGCCTCCAAAAGTTGCTTCTGCTGAGCAAGAGAAACAAACTCGTCCAGCAGATCATCTGCTTCAAAGACGGCGTCCTTGAGCTCCTGGAGCTTATACTGTGCTTCATGGGAGAGCTCCTGCTTGGCCTCTGCATCAAGAAGCACAGCATTGACAGCAGAGACGGTGCGTCGGAGATCATCAAGCTGGGATTTGTAGCCAAAGATTGAAAGGATCTCTTGGAGCTCTGAACACTGCAGCGACGCAAGCAGTGTTTGAGCAGCTGATAACACTGTTCCAATCATATCCATTTTTTTCTGAAAAGCAAAAGAACCGACAGAATAAGGTAATGGTTGTAAGATGATCTGCTAAATCCCTCTCAAAAAAAAAAAAAAATACAAATAAACATTGAATCATATCGTTGAAATCTTGTAGCAAAAGGAAATTAAGTTGTGCTTTACTTTCATCATTTCAATATCCAATCATCTATTCAGCTTTATTGATCAATCAATTTTCTTATATTTGTGACCAATCTATTCAGCTTTATTTGCATCTAATTTATCAATTTCAATGGTTCCAGAAATTTGGTTTATTATTTCCTGGTTGTTTCACTAGTCAACTAAAAACTATACTCCATCACAAATTGAAACAAGCAACTGAGCTTACCATCACAACAACACCACACAAAAATGCAAGAATTTTTCAAAAATAAATCGAAATAACAAATTAAAGTTACACTGAAGAAATTAGCGGTGATAAATCGTTAGAATGGTAATTCAAGAAAGTGTGAATGGAGATTGAAAAGGGATACAGTTCAATAATCCACCTAAGAACAATTAAATCAAATATAGTGTGCAATTAATTAAACCCTATATTCTGAAATTGATATTCGATGATGATAGTGAAGAATATACATCTTACCTCGGCTTCAATGGAGGAGAGAAAACTCAGAGAATGCTTCAATGGAAAACTCGGAGTACGCTTCAATGGAGGAGAGAGAAAGAGTTAATGAATTATAAGAGGAAAACATGGGAAAGGCCGAAAGAGCCAAAGAGGGAGGTGTAGCTTTTGAATTTCAATTGCATTTCGGCTTCATTTCATGAGAACGGTGGATTTTCATACTGAACAGTAACAGAGTAATAAATTACTCCGTATTAATGAGAGGTGAAAAAATTGCTACTTCGTATGTAAAATTAGTTGTGTATAATTTTTTTTTTTTTTTTTTTTTTTTTTTTTTTTTTTTTAACGAACAAGAAAACAAGAAAAGACTTATATGCCCTTTCTTGCTGCCACTGCAAGTTTATGGGCTTCAAAGACTCTACTTCTATTTACTTTCCTAATTACAAAACTTTGGAGAGAAAGAGCACATTCCTTTAATTCCTCCAAAATTTGCTTGATCTCCCTTCTTGCTCTGGTGCTATCCGAGACTGCTTGGGCCAACTCCATAGAATCAGTAAGCATCACAACATTGTCCCTTTCTAAACTCGAGCTTTGTAAAGCCATTTATGTCGCTTTAGCCTCAGCTTGACAGGGTGAGGTAGCAAAAACTGGACTTTTGCCCAAATTACAATACCTCTGTCTTTAATTACCCACCCAACAGCTGCTCTCCATGCGCTGCTATGCTTGCTGTCCACTTTCTTCCACGCACCATCAATGATAATAATATACCTTTGGTTAGCTGGCTCGTCATTGGCTTGGTTCGAACAAGAACGTTGGTGCATGTCATCAGCTTCCACGATGTCTTCCATTCGACCCCATTGTTCACATGTTTTGGTGTTATTCCCTAAGTCCCATCTCTGCTTCCAGTGATGCGCTAATTTGATAATACTGCGAGGGGAGACTAGGGAATTATTGAAGCTAATGTTATTTCTTAACAACCAGATACTCCAGAGAGTGCTCACAAATTCCATGGTAGTATCATTTTGAGCGTCATCAGTGGAAAGAAAGTAAAATAGGAGGTTAGACATCCATGTACTTATGTCAAGATTTCTTCCTATATCCGAGTTGATGCCCAGATTGCTGCATTTCCAAATTCTTGTAGTCACTTCACAATCTCTGAACTAGTGACTAGTGGTCTCTTCTTCCGCGTTGCATAGTTTGCATTTTGTGTCAATGTCAACGCCTCTCTTCTTTAGGTTACTCAGCGTGGGCATAGCATTGTGCATCAATTTCCAGATAAATATCTTGTGCTTAGGCCAAATCTTCGACTTCCACCATATTTTCTAGAAAGCAGAAGTTGGGGTTCCATTGTTGTTGCTACCTTGTGCCTGCCAATATCCTGATATTAGAGAGTAATGTCATGTACTCGAAGGACCCTAATCCCAACCATCAGATTGAAGTTGGTTACCGGGGTGAATAGCAAGGATATGCTTTGCTATAACTGGGCTAAACCATTTGCATACTAAACCCGCCTTCCATTTTCCATGCTCATCAATTAGATCACTGATAAAAATTGGTTTTTGCTCTGTGGAAGGAAGCTGGTTGTTCTTGCATTTGATAACCTTGTCAGTCACCCACCAGTCATGCTCCACCTTTATGCTTTTACCATAAGCAATGGTTCTTTTAAGACCCTCCCGCAAATGATAAATACTCTTGAATATGCTTCTAGCACCCCAAGACATTGAGGTGTTCATCTCACCTCTTCGTCCTTTGTCAAACCAGTCATCCTTGTACTTTGCTCTGAAGATCTTGCTAACGTTTAGTTGCTGGTTTGAGTGCATCCTCCATGCTTGCTTGAAAACAAGAGCCTGGTTGAGACTCTTAAGGTTCCATAGACCAATACCTCCATCATGCTTGTGATTTTCAAGGAGAGACGTTTTCCTCCAGTAGATAGGCCTTTACTCCATGGATGAGGACCACCAGAATTTCAAGATCAGGGATGATAGCTTTTTGATGATTTTCTAGGGTAGTAGATAGTTGCTAAGAATGTGGCTGGCCATTGCGATGAGAATGCCATTTATGAGAATCAATCTTCTAGCTTGAGATAATTTGAGGAACTTCCATGACGATAGCTTAGAAGCAATTTTACCCACAATTTCTTGAAACACCCCGGTGGACCTTCCATCGACGTCTATTGGACATCCCAAGTATGTGCCCATCTTCTCATTGTCCTTCACCCCCTAGGATTCTTTTCAGAGTTTTCTTGAACCTTAAAGGCATGTTTTTAAAGAAGATTACATACGACTTATTGAAGTTTACCATTTCACCAGAAAGATTGCAGAATTGGTCAATAGTACTCTTCATCACACCAAAGTTTTCAATATCGGCTTTGAGGAAAAACAAAACATCGTCAGCAAAAAAAGAGATGAGATGAGATATAGTTGGCCTTGAGCGTGAAACTTTAATTCCTTTAAGGCTGCCAGAAACTTGTAGGTGATCAAGTCTTCTCGAGAAAACCTCCATACATAATATGAAGATGTAAGGTGAGATCAGGTCTCCTTGACGTAAGCCCGAGTTAGGCACGATTTTCTCCGAGGGCTCACCATTAATGAGAACACGGTAGGAGACCGTAGAGATGCATTGTGTTTAGGGTAAAAAATACCCCCCAAGTACGTGGTCCTATCTAATGATGACACGTGGCCCAATAAATGGGCGACACGTGTCACCACAGGAAGATGACACGTATTATGAACAAGGAGTACACCTGAAATCTAATATGTCATAAAGGCCCCTTACATGAGGAGGCCTAAAAGCAGCTAAAATGCCGCAAAACGGCACCCCAGAGGACACATGTCTTTCGCTGATTGCGCAGCCAATCAATGGCCCTAAATTCTAGGTCACTTACCCTAAAGGGCACAAATCCCCACCCCTATAAATACCCCAATCATTGCTGATGGGAGAGGTAGATTGTGACATAACATTTAATAAAGCACTAAAAGCTCTAACTTCTCTCTACTTTCTCTCTCTACATTTACTCCGTTTCCGATCACTAACTTGATCGTCTGAGGCGAATCTCTGACAACCGAAGATTTATGTTTTGCAGGTGCCCGCATCCCGTTTCCAGATCAGAGCGTGACCAGTATCCCGAGGGATTCCAAAAATCACCTAAAATATTTAGCGCCGTCTGTGGGGATACTCGTCCGTTATGGCAATGACTGGCCAGACACCAGGTGCCAACCCTCGCCCCGACGAGGACAACTTTGTTGAGAACATAGTCACAACAATTCATTCTAGCGACACTCTGACCGCTTCATTCCAAGAGGCAGAGGACCGTCCAGTAACTACTGGTTCACTCTTGGTTGCTTTGAACAAGCTTCGAAAGGAAATGGAGGGTAAGCGACCATCTTCTTCTAGGAAGCTGCCCAGGATAGAAGGAGAGGGCCAACAAAAGAAGACCTAAAGCAAAGCGACCAATGCCGAAAATGCTGGGAGTACCCCATATCGCTGGCATGAGCGTGTGTCGAGGGTGCCAAGGGCGGATATGACTCGGCCCCTTGACCAAACGCAGTCGGCTGGGGGGGCAGGCCAGACGGCCTTAGAAAGAGATTACTGAGCCGTCTCGGCGGTGGAAGGATGCTAGGGATTACCTCCGACACAAGCAACGTAAACGAATAGCCTATTCGAACACAATCTCTACCCCTTCAATCCCGGGTGATTTCTCAAACCATACCTCCTCCAAGCGTACCAGCACAACCAGGACCAGTGAGAGTCAAGCTCATCGGACTCAAACGCCAGTTCTAATTGCTCCAGTGCATCCGTTTCAATATCTGCCTTTCCAGAATTTTAACACCTTTTCGCTGACTAACCCTGCTATCTTTGGACAGTATGGGCAGTTCGGCCAGCCGTTCAACCAGGCTGCTTACCTGGCCGGACCAATTGCTTAGCCGCAACCCATTGAGTGGCAGGTGCGCATGCTAAACCTTGGAGACAAGCCGCCTCCGTTTTCTCAAGAGATCATCAACACTCCTCAGCCCGCGAAAGTGAAAAATGTACTTGTGGGTGCCTATGATGATACGGGCAACCCGGAAGAGCACGTCACTGCGTATCATAATCTCATGTACTTGCAATGTGTGGATGATGCCACTGTAGGAGTTTATAGGTACTACACAGCGGAAAAACATGAATCATATTCAATCAAGTACCAATCCCAAGAATCACATGCATAACACACAAGACACATAATCATACCTTTAACGTGTGAATTCCACGAAGCTATTCGACAGGCAAATTAGGGAGAGAATAGAGCCCCAAGCGTTGCTCCTCTACTTAGTCCACGAGATTCGAACGAGCCGTCCACCAATACTAGATTGGTCGAGTGATTGAGGAAAACCGCGATCACCACCTTTACGGACAACCGACCACCGCACGAACCACCACCACCACGACACACCACCGGCGCCTTGGAGGAGGAGAGAGCCGTGTGAGAGAGAGGACTTTGAGAGGGGTTGGGTTTCGTGTTTGCTAATTAGGGTTTGATCACACTGATCAGTTAATTGCTTCCTTACTGCAAACCTAGGCACCTAGTCTACTTATAATCTCATTATAATTAGACTAGGGCACGAAGCCCAAAACTCCTTCTAATCCACTACATGGCCGACCACCTAGAGTGATGAGGCCCATGATGGGCCTCGTCCTCTAATGCTTGATCTAGCCCCTTTGTGTGACCTTATAGGATCCGTCCAATTGGGTTTTGGGCTATTTTACTAGTCCAAAGATCGTTAGTACCTCTAGCTATGGCAAAACGATGACCCAAATGTACGAACTTAATTATCTCCATAATTTGATCCATTTATATATCTAGTAATTGCACACGACGAAGACATAACTCCTTCAATCTCCCACTTGTCTGAGACAAGGGTGCAATATTCAAATTCCTTAAGTCAATATATGTGTCGATTTGATAATATGATTGCATCACATGTCGAGATCATATTAATCTACAAATCGTTTCTTGAAATCTGAGTTAGAATTGCAAAACCAAATGATTACTGTGTAATGCATTTGAACGCGGCCACGTATTTTCTGAATTCTCCCTCTTTAAGCGGCCACGACACATTTCCTAATTTAATAGGTAGACTCTATCCAATCTTGTGGTAACATGACTCCCACTCAACTTCTGAAATAACCGGGAAACACCCTTTATAATCTCCAGTTACGGCTAGACGTTTGAGTGTACCACAGTCACAACATCCATTGAATGAAATCAATGTTCCACTCATGTCAAAGGAATCCACTAATATATACGGAAGCTCTATACTTGAACTTCAAAGTAGGTCAATAGTTCGATCATGCATCATTCATGCATATCCAAGTGATTGACCGAGCATCACTATGCCCCTATAGCCCATGAAATTGCGCTATCCAATCAATCTTACATGCTAGTCCATTTATTGAAATCATTTATGTCCACTTTAATGATCTCGAACTAGGAACTTTAAATAATATATGAATTTTGTTCACCTGTGGGGTTTCAATTCACCAGGTCATCAACCTGATGAGCCCATCAATTCATAATTATTTTGGACATATTATTTAATTTCCAAAACCATAATTAAATAAGAGAAATAATAATTTCTATTTTAAACATAATTCTGCAAATTTTTCTCATGTAATATGTTTTCTCAAAACATATACAACTTAAATTACACAACTTGCTTCAATCCTAGGACTTTAATATGACTCTCATACCTTAGTCCATGGAAGGGGTTTAGTGATTTCTCACTCATAATACAACTTTGCAGAACACGACCTTCCGATGGTCAATGATCTCATAATTGAGGTGATTTCTCATATCCTTTTGTTTGGATTTTGTGATGTGACTCTGGCTCCTTTGTTTTTGGGTAAAGGTAACCTGTTAGTCACATGACATTTTAATCCAAACTTCCTCTGTAACTATCTGACTATAGTTTATACACAAATTCTGACATTGAGTATGCAACAGTGCTCTGCTTTGAACTCTTCAAGCTCACTG